AACCGTTTTGTTTTTTTTTCCTAACTCCTGTGAATCTGTTTGTACCAATTTTCCAGGAACCAGAAGTTAGGCTTACTGGCCTGTAGTTCCCTGCATCCCCACTGAAGCCTTTTTTAAAATATGGGTGTCACATTGGCAACCCTCCAGTCCTATGGTACCGAGGCTGTGATAGGTTGCATGCTCTAGTTAGGAGTTCACCAATTTCTGTTCTGAGCTCCTTAAGAACCCTAGGGTGAGTGCCATCAGGTCCTGGTGTGGTTTGTTTCTGTTTAGTTTATCAATTTCCTCTACAACCTCATGTATTGAAACCTCAGTTTGGGTCAACTCCACTCCTAGAGAGGAGTGGATATGGTGACAGAATTTCCCTAACATCTTCCACAGTGAACATAGGTGCAAAGAATGCATTTAGTTTCTTGGCAATGGCCCTGTCATCCTTTAGTGCTTCTTTTACAAAGGCCCAAATGACTGCCTGGCAGGGCTTTGGCTTCTAATGTACTTAAAGCAATTTTTACTGTTACCTTTTGTGTCTTTAGCAAGTTTCTCCTCAAATTCGTTCTTGTCTTATTTCAGTTTTACATTTGCCTTGCCAGGGTTTATGCTCTTTTTTATTTTCTCCATTGGGATTTGACCGAGTTTTTTAAATAAGCCCTTTTTCTGCGTATTAGCTCTGCTGTTCTGCTATTAAACCGTGCTGGCTTTCTTTGGGTCGTGTCTCCATTTTTTTTCTTTTTGATTTGCAGTATGCATTGGCTTTGTGCTTCCAGTATGGTGTTCTTAAGCAATTCCCTGCAAGTTCTGCCTGCAAGTTCTTTGTCTCTTTAGGGGACCCTTTTAACTTCTGTCTAACTAGTTTCCTCATTTTGGTGTAGTCTCCCATTTTAAAGTTAAGGCCTACTGTGGTAGATTTTCTTGTCTCCCCTCCTACATGAATGTCAAACATTATGGTCACAATTGCTGAGCAGCTCAGTAATGCTTACCCTTTGCACCAAGTCCTGTGCATTACTTAGGACTATATCAAAAATGGACTTTTTCCTTTTGTATGTTTCAAGACTAACTGATCTAGAAAACAGTCTTTTATGACATCAAGAAATTTGCATCCCAGCCTGATTTTAGATTGGCCCAGTCTATTTATGAAAAGTTGAAGTCCCCCTTTATTACTGTGTTTTCTGCTGTCACCACCTCTCTCAACACCCTTAGCATTTCTAGCTCACTGCTACCATCCTGATCTGGTGATTGATAGTATTTCCCTAGACATACCTTTTTTTTTCCCTATTGATACCCAGGATGTCTATCCATACAGATTCTATGGTACCTCTCTTTATCAGATGAAAAGTGTAACCTATTTGATTCCATGCAGTCTTTGATGTAGAGTACCACTTCCCCACCCGTACAACCTACTCTTATCATTTCTGTATAATTTGTATTTTGATATTACAGCATCCTATTGATTTTTTTTCCCCTCGTTCCACCATGTTTCAGATACCTATTATGTCAGTATCATTATTTACTACTGAGCATTCAAGTTCCTTCACTTTTGATCTTAGACTTCTAGGATTAGTATAAAAGCATGTGTACTTTTTATTGTTGCCTGGTTGGTTACTTCTGTGTGACCTTTTACTCATTAAAGGTATTTGCTTGTGCTTGTCTTCACCCTGTTTCTTATCCCTATTTTTTATGGTTTCACCACTGTAGGGTGCGTCAATATGAACTGTGTGCTGTTCTGCACTGTCAGTTTTAACCCATTTTTAGTTTAAAAGTTGCTCTACCACCTTTTTAATGTTACATGCCAGCAGTTTGGTACCATTTTTGCTCAGGTGGAGACTATTGCTTTTGTCTAAAGTCTGTTATAGATGTCTATTCAGAATTATACTTTATAGATTTCTATTCAGAATTATCAACTAGTGGTATGCAAAGATCTGTTCTTGACCCACAGACCTTGGGTTAAAAAAAGTAAATTAATGATTAATGTTCAGAATACTAAGTTTGCAGTAAAAATTCAGTAGTACAGGTGAGTGACTTGGATTACTTAGGAAAACGTAGTCAAATGTGCATTTTGATACAGCTAAGTACACAGTTACATCTAGGAACAAAAGAATGTACTTGCACATTAGATGGAGGCTATGTCTGTAAAAGCTATGATTTTTAAAAGGATTTGCAATTGTAGAGAACCAATGGAATATGAAATTCTAGTGGTTTGCTATAGCACAATGGGCTAATACTTGTACTTGGATGAGGAATATCCTGCAGAAGTTAATGTTAATTTTTTCTTTGTACATGGTATAAAGATGACCATTAACTGAGTTCTAAGTCTAGCTTTAGTGTTAAAATGTTTTAAGTTGTTGAAAAATTAGGATCCAGAGAATAACTTTGAGAATGGTTTGAGGATGAGAAAATGTGTTACAGGGAGAGACAGGCTTCAGCTTGTTTAGCTTATCAAAGATCAATGGCCTGTAAGAACTTACTAGAGAATACAGAGGTGGTCCTTTAATTTGCCAGATAAAAACATTACAAAAGCCAATGGTTGAAAATTGAACATGGCAAAATCTCAGTTGGAAGCAAGTTGCAGTTTTAAGTGGGGAGCTTAACTATTGGAACAGCTTACTTGGAGATATGAATTCAACTCAAGACTTTGAATAGATTCAGGACTTCGGATGTCCTTGAAAGATGCACTCACCTGGAAGACATGAGCTATTTTGGAATCTTAGGGTAAAAACTGGGTTGCATTCATCAGGAGGTCAAACTTAAATGATCACAATGTTAGCTTGTTTAGATATTCAGATATTCTTAGATTTGACATTATAAAACAAGAAAGGTAAATAATTCCAGGCTTCAAGACTTTTGCTAGTCAGCTGCAAGGAGCAAGAAGAAATTTTTCCTCCTTATCACTGCTTTATAGATGCTGGGGTGGTATTTTTGCCTTACTTAAAAGCATTGGACATTGATTGCAGCTGTGTGTGTTGATTGAGTACTCATTTTCCTGCCCATACTAAGAAATATCTCTGGTCATGGCTACCTGGCCTTCCTGTTTAACTCAGAATCAACTGATTGTCATACTTGGGGCTGCAAAGGAATTCCACCCCCCCACCCCTGTCCCCTGGTCAAAATTGCAAGGAATATGGTGGATTTCAGCTTTCACTCCAGCATGAGATAATGGTCTTTCTGGGATCTCAGAGCATACAACCAATTTTCTGCCTCTGCAGTTGCAAGCAGTGCCGTTGTTGCCATTCGTTTTTGTGTGCAACATTGTAGGCTTTGCGATGTGCTTTGTGGCTACTGTCTATGAGGGGTAGCCAGTTTTTAGTAAATTGTTTTCTGGGAATGCAGGGAACT